TAAGTGGCTGTTTCTCCAGATAGCCAGCTACCCGGACAGAATGTTAGTGAGAAGGGTCGACCTAGATTTACTAGATTGTCCCACATCCCACCGTTTATACTATTCGGAGCATAGACACGTCTGTGCCCGGATTATGTTAGGTGCTAGGCCTAGATTGACTGAACACTGGAAGTTCAATCTGTCCTTAGTGGACAGATGGGACTTTCAGCTTACTAGATTAGTGCTGTGGGAATTAGTGGGGGCGGTTCTAGGGAGTATGTGGTGGGAGAGGTTTAAGGATAGGATTAGCTTAAAGCCAAGATTAGGACGGAAAAGCGGCGGCTCTATTTTTCCGAATTGGGCAAAAGGTGGGTGAATCTTGGGCGTTTGTGTCGAGTGAAAGGGGCTAACTTAGAGTGGAACTTTGATGTCGGGTAGTCATCAGGATATTGCTCTCCCTGTGTTGAACATAGGATAATCCCACCCGGATTAAGTTAGTTTAGTGTTGTTTTGTTACTTTAGTTTCTTCATTTCAGTTAACTTAGCTAGGGCATGCATGCGCATTGGCACCTTTTATTTCTGTCCCCATTTTTTCTTTGGTTTAATTCCCCATCCCCTCCCTCGTTAGGTGGTCAGTGACGTCAATTCTCTGGTGGATGCGAGGCGCCTTTCGTTTCGGATGTGATTTTCGTATTTCTTGTTGTGTCTGAATGAGTGCATGTCTGTGTGAGTGCTTGGGATGAATCAATGTTTGATATTCTTATAGTCCCGCATTGATTTCGTTCAGTTAACTGATGTTTCTGCCACATTTGTGGAGGGTTTTATTACTAACATTATTTTGTTTAGTTTATTGTAAATAGATTTGTATTCATATTGTAAATACTCACTGGGGCTAATTTTTAAATTGTCGTTTTATCCTCGCCCAGGCAAAGAATTGTACATATGGGGTTTAGTTAGGACTTTCATGGAAACAGTGAGGTATTATGGTGGATGTAGTAAGAAAGGTAAGTAAGAATGCGTTGTTTTGGTTTAAGGAATATTGTTGTATGATTGGGTTAGCGTTTTGGATAGCTAATTTTAACGTTAAGACAGAAGAAGACCGTCCTTTTCCCCATTCCACATTTTGCCACATTTCTGTACATAGAAGAATAAATATCACTATTCCTCCTCTATGATCTATACTATAAGGATCCCTGTTCACTCTTCTTGTCTATCCATTATTGCTATACGTTTCACTCACTCTACTCTACTGCTATATGGATTACGATTCTCTTCTGATCATTCCTCTATCGGACGATTACTACTTGAACAAGTATTACTTGTGCGGATATTATTGGAAGGCGTTACTACTAGTGCCGGCGTCTATGAAATCTCGAATATAGCGAGCATTTCTGGAAGTGATAACAAGATTTCGCTTCACAGTAAAAGTGACAAACGAAGTACTGCAACATCACAAAAGTGCGGGTAAGTGACGGGTTTAGATAAAAACAACGTATAATCTCATAGTTGAGGCCCAGTTAGAAATACTTTCAGGTCGGCTAAACAAGATCGTTTAGGCGTTTAGACTGTTTAGGCGTTTAGACCGTTTAGGCGTTCTCCAACTGAGGTTGTTCTCAAGTATTTAAATGTGACTTCCAATCACGTCTTAACAATGTAGAATTGTAATAAATCTTTTAAAAATATTAAATTTTGGAAGCAAAAAATAGAAATCACATAGCCACGGGTTAAAGCGAAGGGCGTATGTGGCAAAGTATCACAAACTAAATCTAAACCTTTTTTAAACCACACTCTGCAAAAAAATGTCGTGACCAAGTAAATGGTTAAAGAAATAACAAAACAAGTGTTGCAGATATATATATATATATATATATTAAACAGTAAGTACAACAGAAGAGTATTACATGACAATTGAGTTTGTGTTGGTTGACCCAGCGTTCAATCTATTCGACTGTTCCCCCAAGGCCTTCTCTCCTACTAATCTTATAGTAGGCGGAAGAGTCCAACATAAACTGTTTAGAGGGAGGATACCACAACAAATAATAAACAACAAAATGATGGCCGATGCCTTGTTGACCATTACCAAAAACAATGCACAATGTTTTTTGATTAAGCCAGGTTATATTTGGGATGTATTATTGCCTTTGCGCAATTTTTTCACTCCCTAATTTATTCTAAAAAATTACTTTTGCAGCCCGCGGCTAATTCTCTGCGATCAATATGTTTCTTTACATTTGTGCGGGCCCGCTACTGGCATTGTTAAATAGACTCTGAAAAGAAATAATAAGCATTAGTAAAATACTGCACGGCATTGACAAAATTACAAAATTCAAGAGACATTGTACATGATGATTGTTCATGTATGTTGTTATGTATGAGAAAGTGTGTGTGAACAAGTGAGAACGAGATGAAACAAAGTTTTAAAATTAGGTGTGTTATTCAGAATGTTAACTGGGCCGCAGTTTTCCCTTTACGGTTGTAGACATTAACGTTTATTCTTAGGCTTGTTGTATTAATGAGTATGCTTAGCAAATGAAACTCATCTTAATGTAGAATTTCTTCTAGATACTGGATTGTTTTAATCATTTCACTTCAAGCAAGGTAATAAAGCCACTAAGAAGCAAGAGGTTACTGAGTGTGACAAAATATGAGAGAAAAAATCTCTCTTTCGGCTTCTTGATTCTCTGTCAACTTTGATCTTCAAAACTTAAACGCAATGTCAATCGTTATCAGCTGTCTTCTTAATTCCTGTTCTTTTATTGTTTTCTCCCATTAATAGTGTTTTCTCATATCCTCTAACACTCAGTAACCCCCCTGCGTCTTAGTGGCTTTATTGCCTTGCTTTTGGTGAAATGATTAAAAAAAGAAATCCTAATAATTAAAAAACAAAAACAACAACAACCTAACATCAACTATGAACACGGCCAAAACGTACTGGCCCTGTTCGAGAATTAAAACCATTTCTACATATCAATAATCGACACAATATAGAATAATCAAAATCCTTGAAAATGGTTAACAGATAAACCGAAAGCCTTCGAAATGAAAAATAATTTTGGCAACTTTTCCATGCATTATATCCCTCCTCCCCCAAAAAATAAATAGTTTGTTCGCACACAAGAAAAATGCAGTAAAAAATTTAGGATTGTTTTTTTTTTTTTTAATAAAACATGTATTAGAAAGGGTTTACTGTAAAAATATACATCTATCTATCTATCTATCTATCTATCTATCTATCTATCTATCTAGTTAAATCATATATAAAATATAATTTAAAATAGAAATCATATCTATATTGAAGATATAGTTGAAGAAGCAGATGGAGAAGGAGGGAGAAGAAGAAAATTTTTATCATTTTTAAAATTTATCGATATAATCACCATTTTAATTATATTTTATATATGTTTTAATGAGATATGTGTATACATATATAAAAAAGAGTATCTATCTATCTGAAAGAGATAGATGCGTATATGCTCAGCAATCTCTCTCTAATACTTGTTTCATTTAAAGTGAAGGATAATCCAATTAGAAGACGAAGAAGATTAAAAAATTTAATTAAATATAATACACTATTTTTATTATATATATGTGTATATATATATATATGTGTGTGTGTGTGTGTGTGCGTGCGTGTGTGTGTGCGTGTGCGTGCGTGTGTGCGTTTATATGTCTGTGTTTATTTGCGCAGGAAAAAAAGGATGTTTTGTTGAAAGTGACTGATAAAGTAATTAAGAAGAAGAATGTAGGAAAAATATCAAGGATTTTAAAACCGACGAATATGATTATATTTTTATTTCTATATTATTTAACATGTATATATGTGTGCGTGTGTGTGTGTATTTGCGTAGCAAACCCTCTCTAATACATGTTTAATTGAAAGTGACTGATAAAGTAATTAAGAAGAAGAATGTACGAAAAATATCAAAGATTTTACAAACCGACGAATATCACTAACTCGAAACTAGGTCATTGGTAGACACTTTCACTGCTTTTTTTTTATTTGCCAGATGAGAGGCAAGAATTCTACGTATCCTAAGCAGTAGTATCACGCCATTAAATCGGTCAGTGTTTCTCGACGCAAAAGAACTGACTGGGTCAATTCAGGAATTTACAGATTTTCGGATGTACCGACTACTATCACTCGTAAAATATTACCGCGAGTGTAGTAGACTCGTTTATGATTTCCATTGACCATGTTGGGTATTATAGTTTTTGGTTAAGAATCTCTTTTAAAAAAGGGTGTTTGTACAAATATCGAACTGGATTTGTTTTTACAATGAGAGGAAATAAAATAAGTGTATTTTAAATGCTTACAAGAGCGAGTTACGCCGATGAGTTGAAGTACCATTACCCATGACGAAGAAAGGTAAAGAGAATGAAAGAAACGTGAAAAATATTTAAAAAACAAAAGAAAAGAAATAGAATTAGGAAAAAAAAAAGAGAAGGAAAGGAAAGAAACGAGAAAAAGAATCAGGAAGGACCACTGTGAAGAAAGCGAATAAGGAAAATGTAAAAAAATGTTTTTTAAAAATAGGAAAAGATTTATAGAAAAAAAAAAATAAAAAAAAAGGAAATGAAAAAGATAGAAGAAAAAAGAGCGGGAAAAATGCAAGAAAAAAGAGCGGGAAAAATGCAAGAAAAAAGGTAAGAAAAATTGATTAGTCAAACGAATAAGTAAAAGAGAGGAGGAAATAAGAAAGGTGACAACGAAAGACAAAGAAGGATAGTGAGAAAAATGAAAAAGAAAGGGAAGAGAAAGGAAGGCTGAAGAGAAAGATAAATTGGAAAGAGAAGGAAAGAAAAGAAAAAGGAAAAAGAAAGGAAAGGATGCAAAGATGAAAAACGGTTATGTATAAGAGAAAGAAAGAGAGAAAAAAACGAAGAAATGTAACAAGGAAAAGATCAGAATGAGATAAAGAGAAAAGTGATGAGGAAAGGGAAGAGAAATGAAGGTTGGACGTAAAAATTAAAAAAATAAATAAATAGAAACCACAAAGTAAGGATGAGAAAAAAGGGATTAATTAAAAGAAAAAGAAAAGAAGAAAAAAAGAAAAAAGAAAAAGATAACAAAGGATAGGGAAAGAAAATGTTGAACGGAAGGAAACAAAAAAATGGGAAGAGGAGGAGAGAAAAGAAAAAAAAGAAAAAAGGAAGAAATAAAAGGATGAAAATAACTTAATTAAAACGAATAAAATAAAAAGAAAGAAGGAAAAAGTATCGACAAAAGTCAATGCAGGGAAGAGATATAAATGAAAAAGAAAGAGAAAGGAACGCCGAACATAAGAAGCGAAAAAAAAAAAAAAAAAAAGAAAGAAACAAAAAAAAAAAAACTGGAAATAGAAGAAAAGAAAAATAAAAAAATGAAAAATTGAAACAAGAAAAGGGAAAAAAAGATGATGAAAAAACGAATAGAAGAAAACGAACAAGAGAAAGAATATCGGAAAAAAGAATTGAAAGAAAAGAAGACAAAAAAAAAGGGAAAATGTGATAACGAAGGAAAAGGAAGATTAGAGAGAAAATGAGGAACGCTGAACCGAAAGAAGTTAAAAAAAAATAAGAGGAAATTAGGTCAGACATGAACATCAGTGCTTAGTCTTATAAACTGTGATAATGTCTAATGAAGAACGTAAAAAACAATAATATCTAATGAAGAAAGTGAACAAGGATAATGTTTAATGAAGAATATGAACAACGATAATGTCTAATGAAAAACCTGGAAAAGATAATGTCTAATGAAGAACTTGAAATGTGATAATGTCTAATGAAAAACGCAAGAAACAATAATGCCTAATAAAGAATGTGAACAACGACAGAGAGTTAATAACGATAACGTCTAATGAAGAATATGAAAAGCGATAATGTTTAATGAAGAAAGATAAAACCGATAATGTCTAATGAAGAACATGGAACACGATAATGTCTAAGGAAAAACAGGAAACACGATAATGTCTTACGAAGAGCATGGAACGCGATAATGTCTAATGATGAACGTGAAAAACGAATGAAACCATTGCTGCACATGCTGTTTGTAACATGTTTGTAGAGGCATTAATAGAACAAAAACTTTGTCTTTATTTACAAAGTGTCATGTTCTATGAAATTCTTTTATGAGGTCGTACTGGAAAGCAAGAAGAAAGGATTTTTTAATTGTAAGTACTATTACCATGAGTCACCCAAAATATCCCTGCCTAACTTCTCTCCTAGATCTGAATCTCTGCTGAGTGATATGCATATAACCCCTTCCATGGTTTCTGCTATCATCTCTAACTTAAATCTTCACAAAGTATGTGGGCCCAATGGTATCTCTGTAATTATCATTAAGATGTGTGTTCCCGAACTGGCTCCTGTTCTCTCTAAACTGTATAATAAATGCCTCACCCCCTCCTGCTTTCCTGCCTGCTGGAAGTTATCGTCTGTTGTTTTAGCTTTTAAGAACTCTGTTGAACCGTCCGACACTTACAACTGTCGGCTTACAAGCCTTCTGCCTTTTTTTTTGGGGGGGGGAGTCCTAGAGGCCGTAATCAATGCTGAATTTGTTCATCATCGCTCATCGCGAGGCCTTTTCTCAAACAAGAAAATGGCTCTCATTTCTCCAGGTCAACTGCTGATATACTAACGATATTCGCAGAAAGAGTTTATCATGCTCTAGCTAAAACCAGTGAGGCTCGTGCTGTTACATTGGACATCTCGAAAGCCTTTGACAGCATTCAGGTCTTCTCCACCAGCTGAAAAGTTATGGCTTCTCTAGAGACTTTTTTGAACTGATCCAATCTTTTCTATCAATTTGTGAAATGAGTGTTATCCTGAACGGCCACTCGTCTAGATCCTTTCGTACTAACGCAAGATAAGAGAAGTGATTATTAAGTCAAAAGTTTATCAAGATTGCAAGGTTAAAGCCTTAATGTGCCTACAATTCATGTTAGTTTCAAATCTCTGATTTAACACTATTCAAAAGTTTAATTATATTCATTTTCTCCTGTAGACAGAGAAGACAATGTTCATATAAATATCTACAAGTTCTGGCTTGTTTTAATATCTTCCATTTAACTTTAGGTGTCTTGTTTTCTTCTTTCAATTTCCAAAAATACTGAAAAAGTGACGTCATGTTGTGTTTGTGAGCATTAGTAAAAGAAGAAAATTGAAAATCCCAGAAATATTAGGTTGTATATTGGTAGCACTAAAAAAGCTTTAAAAAATGTTTATGTAACCATCTATCTTCTTTTAAGAAACATAATTTGGTTCAACACCACCCCTACAACAATGCAATAAAAACAAAAACTGGGAAAATATTCTTCAATTAATTGACAAACACTTCCCTAAAAACAGCAAATTATCAAAAATTATCAACAAAAATACAATCAAAATTAGTTATAGTTGCATGGATAACACTGAGAAAATAATAACAAAGTAAAATAAAAAAAATACTGAACAAAAATAAATGATGTCCTCATCATTAGTGATCACATCAAACACGATGATGATGTCGACTGGATATTAGGTTTTCATCACTCTTAGTGCATCTTTTGTGGGGAACAGCATCCTTAGCACTGTCCTCAGATTGATAGCCAAACACCCTGAAATGTTCGTATTGGAGCTTACAGAGCAAATAATAAGCAGTAGAGCAGGCCATTTTCAAATTTCTGACTGAGTGAATTGCGCCATGGTGCTCTTTTTTTCAGAGACGCCGCCCAACCAACCTCTAGTATACTGTTCAGTCGACAAAATAAAAAACAACAATGCGTGTAATTAAAAATATAAAATGGCGACAATTTACTCATTGCACCCTGTTTGTATATAGACTCACGTATAAAATCGACCAATGATTGCATATAGACTCATGTATAAACCCGAATAATTTGAGTATAGATTCAAGCACAAACAAGACCAAAGTTTATATATAGACTCAAGGATAAACACAATCATTGGTTTCATATAGACTTAAACATAGACCTGACCAATGTTTGCGTATAGACGTAACTATAAACGTGATCAATGTTTGTATGTAGACTCAAACATAGACATAAACAGTGTTTGCGCATAAACCCAAACATAAAATCGACCCACCTTTGCCTATAGACCTAGAAATAAACCCAACCAATGTTTACATATAGACAAATGCACAAAAAACTCAACTTGAAATAACGCAACAATAGTTGAAATGTTATTAAATTTAACAACTTAAGATAACCTAACCAAAAGATATTTACCGTACTGATTTCACTTCTAATAGATTCATAAAATTATGATTTATTATCAGCTAGCTAGATTTGAAAAGGTTCTCTTCCAAGAAAGAATAAAATTTAAAATCGATTTTTAAAAAAAATGTTTAACATAAAAACATTTTTACGTAAACAGTTTTCATGGCTTGCGTGTTTTATTAAATGTTAAATCTTATCCCATTATTAAACTTATAGATTCCGCGGAGACACGAATATGTTATATCTCTGGGCTGTTTGATATCATTTCCCGGTTTACACGCATATCGGAACAATGTTAATTCTTCGATTGGTGATCAACAAGAAGATTACAGATAAAGAAGGAGACATGAAATTTAATAAGCATATTGAAAAGAGCGGGGGGGGTAAGAATTCTTCTATTCGGTTTCTCGTGGAATGTCAAAATTTAGAGTGTTGGGATTCGATACAATAACACAAAACATTGTTGCAGGACTGCTCGTAATTCGGCCGTTTGGAATAATCAAACGATTTTCATTGAAAGAATAAAATCCAGTAGAAAAAGACACATTAAGATAACAACAAAGATACAAGAAGTTGCTTGTAGATTTGTGGCGGACTTCCAAACGAACTTCGGGGTTACCAATGAAATGTTGCGGACTTCCACTAAATTTATTTACTTGTTTAGGAAACCAAACTTATGTGAAGAAAGGGACAAGGCAAAGGTATCAATATATATAAAAAGTGTATTCAACATTGCATACAATAAAGAATGTGTACGAAAAAGCATGCAATGAGTTGTCTCTCTTTGACTATCAAAGTCTGTTGAAGTTCTCTGAAATAAAAGAGTTATTAGTCTGTTATAAATGTCTTTATTCAGTTCTGCCGTGCAAGAGGAAAAATTTATGTAAGTGTGAAAGAATATGCAGTTTGTGAGTTGAGCGAGAAGATGGGTGCATAGCTTCAACTGTCGTGGATTTCTGTGGCAGCTAAAATCTCATTGGTGCGTCTCCGCTTTTCCTTTGGTTTTATGGGTGATCATTGAATCAGGAGTGCTGCGCGGGAAGAATCATTTTCCACATGCAGGGAATCTGATTGGTCGATACTGACCAATCAGTGCATGAGCTTTGGGGAGATTTCTGGAAGCCGATTCTCCCAAAAGTGCACAAAATCTACTATAGATTAATAGAAAGTAATGTGTTTTTGTTTTGGTTAATAAAGTTCTGGAATAAAACCTAAATTGTATTTGCGTACGTATGTGAGAAACAATGAAATGTTATGCATGTTTGTGTGAGAGATTCAATACGTGTATGTGTGCTTAGTAGTAACGGGTGTAGGGAGACCATAGTTGTTTCCCCTTGGGTTGAGCTCATGGGAGTTCGGCCCCTTTAGAGAGGAGAACTCTTCTGTCCCTTTTAGTTTTTGCTTCCGTTCTTGAAGGAACGGCATCTTTACCTCCCTGGCCACCAGGGGGCGTCCACACACGTGGAAACTGGTCAACATGTGTACGGCCTAGCGAAAGAAAAAAAAAGTAATTTCTATTCACTTATCTGCGGATGATCAAAGGCCATAAAGTTGGTATGTTATTTCTTTGTTCTCGTTCTGTAAACCTCCCCGGTCCTTTGGGACAATATGGAAAATCATTTGTTTTGGGACATATGTAAATCTTTTAAATATATGTACGTAAGTTGTTTGCCTTATTAAATGTTTTGTTTGTTACGTTCGCGTATTTCGTCTTTCTATATTCGTATTCAGTGTTAGTGTATCAACGGCTACGCTAATGCTAATATTAGTACTCGGTATACTACTGGAAGGCTAAAACATTTTATTCTTCCTAACACAAAATAGTCGGTAAACTCTGTGTGGACGATAACCAATACTAATACGAGGAATACAAGATATAGTTAGAATTTGGTTCTTACTGTGAAATGTGGTGCCGTAGTCTGAAGTGGTCTTTTTGTAGTTGGTCAACACTGTCGCTTTTTGCATGTAGACGTGAATAAGGTCGTAAAGATCATCAACGACAAGACGTGGACCTTAGTGACATATGTACGTATTTTATGTGTTTTATATACTTATTGGTGCGTTTTAAGATGTAAGCATTTTTTTGAGTGCGATTGGTGTATAAATATTGTATTTGATATTTTAGTGGACACTAAAGAGGGGAAAATAAATATTCAAGAAGGTAAAAAAGGGAGAAGGAATAGAAAAGATTATTGAGGTTGTACTTGGAAAGCAAAAAATCCTAGTTGTGGAAAGATGGTTTCACCATTCACGATGAACGGATGGCCCTCACGAAGAGTGCCTTGAGAGGATATTGGGCCTCAAACTCACACCCGATCTCAAGTTTTCTAAACATTGCACCATATAGAAATGTCCAACGATCGAGTAGAGACTGTGTTTGTGAGG